TTTTGTATATTTCATTATAATATTTCCCTTTTCCTTCTCGAGCTGATCTTTGAAAATTTCTGATCAGCTCTTTGATTTCATCATTTCTTCCATTTACCTTAGTGGCTCTCTGATGAAAAACAAGTTTCAGAGTCTCTCCTCACATCTACTTTTTTTTTTTTTCAGTAAAAACAAGTCTTCTTGGGGGGAAAAGGTGAGATGACAGTAGCAGCAAGGCGCTTGGTCCCCCTTTCAGATCAAAGCTCCAGGCTGCAGGCAGACTCAGACAGTTCACCTGGCACAGCCAGCTGAGGAGTTCGCAGTGTGGAGGCCTGTAGGCTTTGGGGTCATAGGCTGCCCCACTGCTCCACAGGAGGGAACTGACTCACCTCGCCTACCTCCGTGCTCAGCTGCTCCCCGAGGGCGAACATCAGCCAGTACGGGAGCCGTACCTTCTCCTTCAGTGGGTTGGCCAGCAGCATGACCTGCGGCGGCTGGACGGGGCTGAAAGGGGAGAGCTCTGCTGGACGGGGCTGAAAGGGGAGAGCTCTGTGTCCGAGGGCAGCTGCAGCTTCACCTTCATGGACTTGGGCATGGCGGCCTGCAGCAGGATGCTCCTAATGGGCAGTGGGGCCGTGTTCAGCATGGGCACCACCACCACCAGCAAGTCGGGTTGCCCGGGCGGGCACTCCTTGGCGAAGTGGAAGAGGATGCGAAAGCCGTTCTTAACGTAGGCCGTCACGGGGAGGGTGCTGCTAGGCTTGATGGACTCAGGGGGACATGAACGCTGGCCAGGGAGAGCTCAGGCAGCTTTGCGGGGCTGCTCTGGGGCTCGAAGAGGGGGCTGCCGGGCTCAGCTGGGAAGGAGAGCAGAGGTCTGGCCGAAGCAGCGGTGGGAGGAGCGGGGAGGGTGTGGTCACAGGGAAGCCTGAAGTCAGTTGGGTCTGGTCCAGAAGCGGTCCGGTGAGTCCAGTGGGGCTGGGGCGCCGTCACCCAGGACTGAGCCAGGGTACTTTGGACCCAGTGCCGGGGCCAGTTCCATGGAGAAGAAGAAGGAGCCCGGACTCGGGGCAGGAAGGCTGGACGGGATGACGGGCATTGGAAAAGGAGGGGCTGCGGGGCTACTGGCTGCAGGGGAGTGCCATCTGCAGAGCCTTGGGAACATCTATTTTAATCTTTTTTTTGTTGTCTTTTAATGACCTCTGGCTTTCTTCATGTATGATGTTTTTATTTTCATCCTAGAGCTCACAAACTCTTTTGCCATTAGCGTTCAATGGGTCAACCCTGTTCTTGAAATATTCTCGATATTCCTGTGGACTATTCTCATAATATTTGGTTTGCAACACTTTCTGATCCTTTTGAGTGATGCCCATCAGCAAATGAAGATCACGAAGGATTTATTACAGAAAGCTTTACTCTATCCTCATCCTTAGTGTTGACTCTACTCTGATAAGGCAGTTCTTCATCAGTCATATTTTAAGTGCCTTCAGAACCGAAGGGCTCATCTGCTAGCATTATCTCAGACCATATTCTACTGCCATTCGTGAGCCGTTCCGTAACTGACAATAGTTCACTGCGATCCACGTGATTTCCAGTAGCTGATTCATCTGGAGTGGACAGCCTAGTCTTTCTTAGTAGTCTGGTTCTAGTGTGGGAACGCCACTGAAACCTGTTCTTTCCGGGTGACACTGCTGGTATTTGAAATCCCAGTGACGAGGCTTCTGGAATCACACAGGCCACTACAGTCTGACAAAATGAGAGGGATCGTTGTCTATAATGTTCTGTTTCGGTGATATCACTCTGGTTTTGGGATCACGGTTAAACTCATTTTATAAAATGATGTTTGGTGTTTAGCATGCTTTTTTATATTCCAGATTAGTTTGGGAAAAAAATCATTGTCAGCTCTTTTCTGAATGTTTAGTGCCTTTTAAAAAATTTTTTTTATCAGTACGACCCTCTATGCACAGAATTATTTTGTAGGCAGTTTTTTAAAAAATGACCTGATCAATTTCTTCTTTGTCATGAGCCTGTGCAGGTGTCTCCTTCAGTGCCGTGAGTTCGGCCAGCAGTCTGCTTGCAGGCATAGGTCCGTGTCTTCGAACGTTTCAAAACTGCTGAAGTACAGAGTTCTTCGTAGTGTTCTGTTGGCGCGATCATGATGCTATCCCTTTTGTTTGAGTACATTATTTACAGCTTCTTCCTTTGCCTTGTTAGATTGGCAGTGGTTTGTCAATGTTGTTAAGCCTTTCAAAAACCAACTTCTCGCCTTGTGGATCTTCCTATTGTTCTCTGATTCATGTCCATTTGTTTCTGCTTTACTGTTTCTTTCCTTCTGGTGACTGTAGGCTTATTTTTCTGGTCCTTTTCTGATTGTTGGGGATATTGGGTTAAGGTGTGGATATTAGTGTATTTACTTGTTTAGTTAACCTTTCATTAAAACGTAGGTAAAGATTTACAGAACAGATCACAGGGTCTATATTTAAAAATGTATGCACATTTTCTCTCAACTCATTTATTACCCCAATATAATGTGGCTTAAGTCGCATCCTCCTGTTTCCTGTTTCCATTTTTCTTTCTTCACTCTCTCCTTGGATACATGTTGCCATTTTGATCTTAAAAAATGCAGGGACTACTTGAGATTGGGTGAGATTGAGTCCTCTGGTCATCAAATGGTGGTGGTGGGGGCGGGGAGACAAGGGAAGGTCTCATCTTTTATTATCAGTCACTGATGGCAGGACTTGTAGCAAGTGGGTGGATTACGATGACACCACCTCTAGCCAGCTACCAAATCACCTGTCTGTCTCCTCTCTGGCAGCTTGTTCAGCTTCTTCTCCATGTCAGTAGTCGACTCACTTTTCTATCCTTTCCTCTGAAGCTCAGGGTTCCAGGCTGATCATCGGCATTTGTTTCCCCCTATTCCCAGTACCTTTGTTGTAGACAGTTTGTGGAGTGTGTCTGCGTACACCTACCATCTTGCCTGAAGATCTTTTACAATGTTCTTTTCAATATAGAATTTTCTAACCTTCGGATTTAATTTGGTAACTCAATGGTGGTTAACAATTGAATTCCTCTGTTTCTTTTCTTATAAACTGCTCTCTTAATTGTAGGATCATTCACATTTGTTCCATGGCTTCTCAGCTTCAAGCGAGGACGAGCCCTAGAAGAAAAAGAAAACAAAATATTGGTCAAAGAAACTGGATATTTCTTTATCTATGGTCAGGTATGTTCTAACTGGAATTCTGCCTTCACCGTAGACTGGCTTCCACTTTGTCCTCACTCTGATGAAGTATTTTGTTTAATCTTTTTCAGGTTTTATACACGGATAATACCTTTGCGATGGGCCACTTAATACAGAGGAAAAAAGTTCATGTGTTTGGGGATGAATTGAGTCTGGTCACTTTGTTCCGATGTATTCAAAATATGCCTGAAACACTACCCAATAATTCCTGTTACTCAGCTGGTAAATCCTATCTTGCAGACTTGCTCATTGTGAAATGAAGATATTCTTTGCTGATAACCTGAGCTTCACAACACAAGGGGTGGGGAATGGAGCACTGGAATCCAAGGAGAAGAAAAGGCACTCCTCAACACAGTGTGCTTCTCGTATCTTGAGTGATAAGCTAGCCTCTTTTCATTGAGATAGATAAAATCATTACTCATAGTCTTAGTACTTTTATGTAAATTAGGAAAGACAGCAACTTCATAACATTCAACAGTGAGAAAAATCCTACTTGTATTTTTCTCCACCCACATTAACTACAAAATTATTTGTCACTTATTCACAGGGTGCCAGGCACTGTTTTATTTACTTCAGATACTCTTGATATTATTTAGGTATTTGAGATGGTTTTAGATATTCTCATCTATGTAAACCTTTTCATTTAAGATGTGGAGTCTGAAGCCAAGAGAGGTAATGTAACTTAACCTAGTATGCAAAACTACTAAGTTTTAGAATGTGGTTCTGACCAGCCTGGCTTCATAGTATCCATCACATTCCTTTGAGCTGCTAAAGAGATGTCCTTGTCTCAGTCTGAGGGTCACAACCGTGGCAGAATTGCTTCCTCAACTTGCCACATATGATATTTTCATACAGATGATATCTGGTATCAGTGGACACCAGGCAGGTGAATTCTGGTTGTGAAAGTGTGAGAGCGTCCCTGTCTTAGAACTCAGTAGCAGTAAAGGAATGGAGAGGCAAAAGGAAAGATCAATGCCAGTTCATTTTAGGAATCTTCTAGTAACGGCAGACAATTTGGCCCCTGTGTGGTCCAAGTGATTCAGTGGTTTAGATCTTGACAATTGGGTTCCCCATAGGTGCCTTGGGGACCTCTGTTGGTGTAGTGGCTACGCGTGTGACTGATAATACCAAGGTCTGCAGTTCAAAAGCACCAGCCGCTCCTTAGGAGAAAGACGAGGCTTTCTACTCCAGTAAAGTGTCACCGTCTATGGAATTCATTAGACGGCAGTGAGTCTAGAGAGCTGATTTAGGAGAAAGACCTGGGATTCTTGTTGGGCAAACCAGGCATCGAAAACTCTGAGACCGACGGGGTTGCCATGCGACAGTCAGCTTGGTGATAAGCATGTGGCTTTTAAATCTTCATTTTTCTTTTGAACGATCATTTCAGATTAACCGAGGCTGGATTTAGGGAGCAAACGAGAATACGAAAACATCACACAATATATATAGATTGTGTAATTTTTAGCCAAACTTTCCAGAATCCTGGTGAATGCCTTCAGATCCAGACAGCTACTGTGAACAGCGGAGTCACATTGGGCTGGAGACTTGCTGCCACTTCAGAGATTTTGGAGGACAAATGAACAACCAATTGCTCAGACAGGAGGCATAATTCCGACTAGTTGAGGTCATTCCTGGTCTTGTAGTCAGAACAGTAGTTTTAAGTGCATGATGGAGAAGTTTCTGAAAGTGGAATTCCCTAATTTACATAAAGAAATGTTTCCCAGTATCTAGTGGTGACTGGCTTTGACACTTCATACTATTTATAAATAGCGAAGCTAGTCAGATATTTTACTTGATTATAGTAATTACAACTTAGAACTTTGAAATAATCCTTAATTTTTTTCTAACTATCCTCTCACAAATTTACTGCCTATTAGCCTTGTTTGCTGGTTTTCCTCGATGCCTCGCAATATATGAATCATTAACTTGGCTTTAAAGATATTTATGAATGCTAATACATTTTATTTATTAGACATTCTGTAGGAGGTTTATGCTTTTCGATTTTAATTTTTTTCTAGAATGAAATGGTATAAAACCATTAAATGTATACATTAATGAATCCATGAAATCAGTGTTTCCCGATGAACCTGAAAAAAATCACAATGGCTCCCTTAAGCACTTTAAAATATGTATTACCAAGGAACTGAAGCCGAGTTTTTTATTGTTTCATTAATAAACTAAATACATTTTTTTTGGTAGAGATACAGCTGACTGCCAGAGTCTGGAATATTTCAAATTCACGAGAGTGAATATTTACCTCAGACTCTGTGCTCTACACTCACTGGCAGTGTATGCCATCTGATAACGACTACTCAGCCCAAATCAAGCTTGTCTTACCTGGTAAGGTAGCCATCCAAAGACTTGCCAATGCCTACCACTCCCTAACAGTACTTGTTGTCCTTTGTCATTCATTAAAAAGGAAAGCCAGATCCTTGAAGATCGAAACTTTTGTCATTCTTGACCACTGATCTGTCAATGTCTGGAATAGTATTTGACACAGTGTGTCAGAAATAAACACTGACTGGTTGTACACCCAGCAAACCTCTTGGTTTTGAGGCTAGAAGAATGCTAACATAGATGTGTATATTCATGTAAATAAATTTGCACAGTTTGTTAAGAAAACAATGCAACGACATGCTCAATTGTTCATCAGCTATATTGATAATTCTTATTTGTACCAATTTATACTTGTCTGTTTCTCTATTCCCTCTTCCCCTTTCACTTTCCTTTCTTTTATTGCCTATTTTCCTTTTTAAAAAGAGGTCAGAAATTACCTTATAGGCTGAGCATAGTTCCTGAATTGTATTCTCTATTCCTGACTCATTGACTACATAGATGTATTCAGACACATGCACAATTATTGGTCATCTTTTAGAACTTGATTACTTTTTACTTATGACTATGAAGACAATTCTGATCACTTAAAGAAACATAAATATAGAAGGCTACGAAATAGAAATCCACTTGAACCCTATTTTTAATCTGGACTCCAGATAAAAACTACGCTAACAATGTGCTATATTAACAGTCTTTTGGTTGTTAATTTTTATATTAAAGTATATGGATCTTTAAAATTATAATTGGAACAACATAGTACATGTTCATGTGTGTGCATTTTTATTTAACATTATTATTAAGGGTTTTCCTTGTCAATAAAATCAAGTGAGAAATGCCTTTAATATTGCATCGTGAGCTCTGCCATAGTTTACGTAACTATTTTTTCTTACAGTTGAGCATTGAGGTTCTTTCTAGATTCTCAATTTATGGAAAGTGGATGATAACTACATTCAGGTGTTACAACTATGTTTATTTCTTGATATTTCTTGTGGCCAGTAGAACAGTAACTGGTGTAGAAGCTCACCAGTATACTTTGAGGTGGGGATGGCTATGGGTTGTCTTTTCCATTTTGCAATCACTTACAGTCCTGGTGAATACTTCTTTTGCAGGTATTGCAAAGCTGGAAGAAGGAGATGAACTTCAACTTGCCATTCCACGAGAAAATGCTAAAATATCACAGGAGGGAGATGGCACATTTTTTGGTGCATTGAAACTGCTGTGACCTACTTATATTATGTCTGTGGCTACTTCCCTTCCTTTCTCTGTACTTCTAATGAGAAAACACTTAACTGGAAATGCCAATGTAAAAGAAAAAAAAATCAGGCACCGTAGCTTTTTCTGTGAGATGTTTATTTTGGTTTGCTGAGACGAGACCAAAACAGGAAATTTAACAGACAACCACAGCCAGAGAGTGTCATGTGAATTATGAGAAATAGTGGACATTTAAGGAAAGCTAGAAGTACTTTTCACTATAATGTCTTATTGAGCAACTCAGTCATAACTTCTTGTCTGGGAAGAAGCACGTAGTTGAAAGGGACAATAATGATTTCTTCAAAAGTAGTATTCCACAGTTCACTAGTCTATAGGATAGTAAGAATTTAAAAATAAATCTCAGTCTTCTTTTCCATTTTTATGTAAATTCTTATTTTCAGTTAATATTGTGGAAAGTTAAAAAAGCTAGCATTTTTCAGTAGACATAGAAGTACCTAAAAGTTTAAAATTTAAAACAATTGAAGCAGAAATAAGATACAAGTATGATTTAAACCTTTCTGGTTTATTTTATACTTGTGAAAAAAATCTAGAAGCAGTTTATTTCTTATTTGTAAAAAAAATCTAGAAGCTCTTATTAGGCACTGAAGTAATGAAAAGTCTAAATTCTGAAGCAATTGAAGCAAAAAAATTGCATACAAAAAAGTGTGTTTCATACTTTTAATTTTTATTCCTAATAGTTTATGTTCCTGTTGGGATTTTCCCAGATACAGTTCCCAGGAGGAAAAAAGTTGCCTCCTGTGTGCACATACACTTATATGCATTTGTATAGTTCATTTCGATAACTTCAGAAACTTTTCATTGTGGGTCAATGCCTCTTCATACATATATGAAGCAATAATTGAAAAAGCAACTGCAGTTTTTCATATACAACATATAATATGGCCAATAAACGTTAAAGAGATACACTTATAAGAATGTAATATTATCCCCCTTTCCTTTTTATTATTTTGTTACGACTTGCTACTATTGTAGTTTACAGATTCCTCCTTTAAAACAAAGGGAAAAAATGTAACCTTCTTGAAATCTTGATATAGACACCATGTGCTGATGGTAAAGATAGGATTCATAGAAGACATCATCTTAATTTTCAATTTGCAGAGAGTCATACTGCAGAATGCTGTGATACTTACCTTTAAAATAGGACTTTCCTTTTTGATAATATTTGATTATACTTTTCATTATCTTTCTGAATTTAAATAATAAGAGATAGATGGCTTCCCAATGTATATTAAAATATTTTAAAGATGTTCTTTATAAAATAAAGAGAATGATTTAGATTTCATATCTAAATTAAAATTTTAGAGAAGTGATATGTCTAGAGTAGAAACAAGTACTAGGAGGCATGGTCAGTAATTTTCCTAGTTCCCTAACCCAATAAAAGAACCCTAGTGCTTTTGCATCATTGTCTGAGTACGTTTGCCTAACACCATTCAGCTTCTATATTTTGTAATGTGTACCTACTTATCATTTAAAAAATTAGGTGTATATTTGTAAAGCATTATAAAATAATATGTATTAGACTATGACAATAAACTGTCTGTAAACATGGATATCTTCTATGCCTAAAATTATTTAATTCAACATTATAACTAATATGTATATTAAATGGGATTTCTTAGAACAGAAGGTGGGAAAAACGCAACTACATTCAAATAGACCCACTTACCAAGCTATTGCTGTTGTGATCTATGACTTGCATCATAAGCCCTTTGAATTATTTGCCATATCATGTCGGGGGATGCGGGCTACAAAACAATATTTTAAAATCTTAATTTACTTTCAGTTTAAACCAGATATGAAAGACATACTCCATTTTCCTTTGTCTGTGAAGTTGTGAGGAGAATGTCTTTTATTAACTACAAGTTCAGATAAATATTAACAAAGAGAATGAGGATTAGGGATGTACGATGGACCAGTAGAAGACACTCCATTGCAGTAGTCGGGGTCAGAGTCCCTTCTCCCTTCCCCTATTTAGTTTAGGGAAAAAAAACAAAAACCTGTTGCAGTGGTTTTTCTACAATAGAGCACTTCCTGAGGTTTAAGTGACTAATCTCAGCTCAGATAACCATTGGTCCTACATCACAGGTTAGGAGTTCTGGTTGCAGATAACTGCATTTTTAATTCAGTGATCCCCTTCTGGGGGAACTAAATGAACTAGCAGAGCATCAAAAGTGAACTAATTCTCTGGCCAGGATGGCTCCTGGAGAAATAAGCTGCACCCTGAAAGTCAGGATGAAACGAGAAGATCCCTCAGTGTCACCTGTAATGGATGCAGCAATGGTTTTGTCAGAAGAATTTAATATCCTTCGTAATCTGAATTATAAAAAATTAATATTACTCTAAAGTGTTCTCTTTCCTAAGCGAGGGGTTACAAACACATGAACAGTTACCAATGCAGGCAGTATATATGTGTATGTGTGTGTGTATGTGTGTGTGTGTGTGTGTGTGTATACATATATATATCATATACTGCTTTCAAAGTTTTAAAACTGATTTCTAACAAAAATGTGTGGCCTCATCACATATTTTAAACTTCTTTAAAAAATTTTATTTTAAACATTGAAGGAAAATATATAATAAACCAGAGTCTTAAGCACGCTGCTTAATAGTTTTACAAAGAGAACAGACCCATGCAACTACCACCCAAATCTAAACATAGAACATCGACTGCATTGAACCAGACTGTGATGCTTCTCCCTATTTTAAACCCACAGTCTCCCCTAAAATGTACCATTTGGTATCTATCATTAAGCAACCACTTTAACTTTTTCTGAACTTTGTATAAACATTAACATATAAGCATCATATATGTGGTATTCTTTTGTACATATTATCCATTTTGTCTGTGAAGTTCATCCATGTTGTTGCATAATTCTCATCTTCAATGCTGAATAGAATTTAGTTTCATTGATATATCATCATATTTCTTTCTTTCTTTTTGTGTGTGTCTATTCTACTGTTGTGGGGCTTTCAGGAGTATTTCTAGGGTGGAACTATAGTGAATAATGACTAACCCACCCAACTCACTGCCACTGCATTGATTCTAACTTACAGCGACTTCATAGGACACAGTAGAACTGTCTCCTTGAGTTTCCAAGGCTATAAACATTTACAGGAGCCGCAAGACTCATCTTTCTCCTATGGAGTAGCTGGTGAGTTTGAACCACTGATCTTAAGGTTATCAGCCCAATTTATATCCCATTACATCACTTGAGCTCTTATTTTATGAATAGTCTTTTAAGAATATTTTGGGGCCCCAGTGTAAAAATTAAAATGATATGTGCAAAAACCTGAGTAAGTAAGCCAAAACATAAGATCATTCTTAACATTTATCAAGCGGACAACACTGAAGAAAAAAATCCAAGCCTGCAGCTGGTGTAGTGATTACATGTTGGGCTGTTAACCACAAGGTCAGCAGTTCAAAACCACCTGTGGCTCCCTGGGTGAAAGATGAGGCTTTCTACTCCCCCAAAGAAGTACAGTCTCAGAAAACCACAAAGGCCGTTCCACCCTGTCCTATCGAGTTACTGTTAGCAAATGATAACTTGAGGATAGGCAGTGTTTTGTCTTTATGGTTGCAATATAGAAGGATTCTATGGACAAAATATGGAAAATTCAGGAAACATCAAAAGAAGAGGGCATGAATACACAGTGCACCAAAATAATTCCTAGATGTACAACCTTGTAAGAAGTAGCAATTTATCAGGAACCGATAGTATTAAAGAAAGAAGTCCGAGTGACTCTGAAGATAATAGCAAAAAATAAGGCTCCAAAATGGACTGAATGCCAAAGGGAATGTATCCGTAGTGTGATGCAGGGCTGGAACCACTCATCTGTCTGTTGAAAACCTTGGGACCCAGCTCTCCGGCCAAAGGCCTGAAAGAGAGCAACATGTGTTCCCATTCCAAAGATTGGTGGCCCAACAAATGCAGACAGGACTGAACAAAATACAATTCATCATTAATGTCACACGGAAGTACATTTTTGCTGAAGATAATTTAGAAGAATTTGCAGCAATATATTGACAGGGAGCTACCAGAAATTCAAGCTGGATTCAGAAGAGGATATGAAATTAGGTATATAATTTTTTGAGGTCAGGTGAATCTTGATTGAAAACAGAAAACCCTAGAAAAATGTTTACTTGTGTTTTATTGGCTATGCAAAGACATTTGACTCTATGGATCATAAAAAATTATGGAAAACACTTTGAAGACTAGGAACAACAGAATATTTTATTGTGTTCATGTGGAACTTGTACATAAACCAAGAGACAGTCATTTGAACAGAAAAGGGGGATATGACATTGTGTTAGTCTGGGTCGACTAGAGAAACAAATCTAGAGACACTCATATATGTACAAGAAAGAGTTTTATAAAAAGAGTAATTGCATATTAAGAAAACATCCCAGCCTAGTCCCGATTAAGTTCATAACTCTGATATTAGTCCATATGTTTGATACCAGTCTGTAAATACCTCTCCAGACTCACACAACACATGCAATGATGCAGAATGCATGATCATCACAGGCCAGGAGGTGGAAAGTCTTATGGATCCAGTGGTGGTGGAAGCAACTCAGCACTGGCAGAGGTCCCCACATGGCTCCTCCAGGTCCAGGGCTCTGGCTCTATCAGCATAGCTCCATGTGGCTTATCAACAGGAATGTCTCACAGAGAGAGGAAGCAGGGAGAGTGTGTCCTGCCTCCAGGGTGGAAGATAGGACTTCCCAGAATTCTCAGGAGAAAGACATGCCCACACAGAGGCCTCATTAGCTATGACCTGATTGACGGGCTAGACTCCACCCCTTTGCAAGTTGACAGATTATGTAACTGCCACAGACCTGACTTTAAATCAGGCAAGGTGTCCATTCTAGTTGCATCCTTACCTCATATGTATTACATCTGCATATTGAGCAAATAGTCTGAGGACACGGCAGTCTTTTGTTTTACTGTATATAGATAGGATCGCTAAGAGTTGGAACTGACTGGACAGCACCTAAGAACAATATCAATAATATTTGTCATCCTAAAGGACTGAGAAAATGAATTTAATACTTTAAAAGTAATGATACATTTAATATGACTTTATGTATCATCTTTTCCATTATATAAAGTAGCGACCATCTTCTTCACAAAATGCATGAGTAAACACAAAAATCAGAGGTAAGTGGTGACTACATCAATACTATTAGGTTAGATTATAGTAATAAAATATCTTCTGAGAAATTTATACATATAAAATTATTTTTATTAATAGACACCACTGATGAAAACTAATTGCAAGTTAAAAATTCTTGTAATTTAGTGTTAATTGTGAAGTAGCAAATTCCATTGAGCAAGTGAGTGGAAATAGTCATAAATATGTGTACTGAGACTACGGGAATAGAAAAAGGACAATTTCTTGTCACATCAAGGTCTTTACCCTCAGTCTTTAGTTCTTAGAGGGTACAAAGGGGCATTTAGTCTTCTATATCTCATAGCCTGGGATAAGATGGTGGTGAGACAACAAAATAAAAAGGGTTTATTAATATGAACAATAATCATGGTCAACCTTAACAATGAGCACATCATGATAAACAGAGGAAACATTGACATTGTCAAGGTTTTCTTTTTCCTTGGATGTCCCATGACCACAGAAGCAGCAGTCAAGATACTAATGACCTATTATATTGGAAGTATTTTCTGCAAAAGATTTTCATACATTGTTGGAGCAAAGATGCCACTTTGAGGGATAAGTTGCACCTGACCTAAGGACTGGTATTTTCGATCCCCTTGTAGGCATGGGAATGTTCGATGATAAAGAGGAAGACTAAAAATTGAAGCCTTGGAATTGTGGAGTTTTTGGCAAAACATATTGAGTAGATGCAAATTGCCGGAAGGAAAAAGAATTCTACGATGAAAGTGAAAGTACAGCCAGAATGATACTTAGAAGTGAGAATGGCAAGATTTCTTGTACTTTGGACATGCTTAAGCTGAGCAAGGACACATCCCTAGGCAGAATGCCAGTGAGCTGAATGAACACACTGGCCACTGGCTGCAGCAATGGGCTCAGACAGGACAATGGTTGTAAGGACGGTGCAGGACCTGACAGCAGTTGGGTCTGTTGTACATAGACTCCTTAGGAGTGAAAAATGACCCAAAGGCACCCCAAAACAGTAGCAATCGTTATTTTGTCTGGAAATATACAAAAATGTATATGCAGAAAATGACTTCAACAATTTTAAATGTACTTCACTCATCACAAACATGTTTAGATGAAGAATAATTCATTGGTTATGAAATTCTGGGTCATAAAGTATAGGAAAAATGTTAGGGTATGGTAGATCATAAAGAGTTCTAACTTCTTTCTTGTCTTTAAAAATTATTAGCATATATTTTACATATCATACAATTTAATCACTCCATCATATTAAGATTTGTGCTATGATTACCGCAACACATTTCAGAATGTATTCTTTTCATACTCGTTGCTGTGAGCTCCCATTGTCCTCATCCTCTCCTGCCATGTACTAGGCAATTAACAATCCAATTACTGTCTCTCTAGATCAACTTAT